GAAGACATTGGCAAAGAACAAGGCTCTGGGAATTGATGGACTACAATTGAAATCTTTCAACAAACTGATGTGGCCCCGGAGGCACTTACTTATCTATGCCAAGAAATTTGGAAACCAACTCTCTGGCCAACTAACTAGAACAGATCCATATTTGTGTCCATTCCAAAGAGAGGTGACCCAACAGAATGCAGAAATCATCAGACTTGCATTGCAAGTAAACTTTTGCTAAGGATAATTTTTAAATGATGGCAACCATACATTGTCAGAGAACTTCCAGAGGTTCAAGCTGGATTCAGAAGAGGACGAGGAAGGAGGGTTATCATTGCTGATGTCAGACAGATCTTGGCTGAAAGCAGAGACTACCAGAAGGATGTTTTGTTGACTGTGTTTTGTTGACTATGCAAAGGTTTCTGATTGTGTGGATCAAGACAAGCTATGGACAACATTGTGGAGAAGGAGTATTCTGAGACACTTAATTGTGCTCATGAGGAAGGAGCCTGTACATAGACCAAGAGACAGTGGTTCGAACAGAACAAGGGAACACCGAATGGTTTAAAATTAGGAAAGGTGTGTGCCAGGGTTGTATTCTTTCACCATACTTATTCAATCTGTATGCTCAGAAAATAATCCGAGAAGTTAGATTATATTAAAACACATCAGGATTGGAGGAAGACTCACAAACAACCTGTGATATGCAGATGATACAACCTTGCTTTCTGAAAGTGAAGAGGACTTAAAACATTTACTGATGAAGATCAAAGACCACAGACTTCGGTATGGGTCGATAAGTAACATCCATATAAATGGAGAAAAGGTGGAAGTTGTCAAAGACTTCACTTTGCTCAGATCAACCATGAACACTCATGGAAGCAGCAGTCAAGAAGTCAAACGACGTATTGCATTAGGCAAATCTGCTGCAAAAGACCTCTTTAAAGTGTTGAAGAGCAAAGATGTCAGTTTAAGGACTAAGGTGCGCCTGATCCAAGCGCATTGGTATTTTCAATGGCCTCATATGCACGTAAAGTTGGACAGCGAATGAGCAAGACAACAGATGAATCGAAACATTTGAGTTATGGTGTTGGAGGAGAATGTTAAAAGTACCACGTGCTGTCAAAAGAACCAACCAGTCTGTGTTGGAGGACGTACAGCCAGATGCTCCTCGGAAGCCAGGATGATCAGACTTCGTCTCTCAGACTTCTGACACATTACCTGGAGGGACCAATCCCTGGAGAAGGATATCCTATTTGGTATAGTGGGGGGTTGGAGGAAAAGAGGAAGACCCCCAATGAGATGGACTGGCACAGTGGCAGCAGCAATGGGCTCAAACATTACAACGATTGTGAGGCTGGTACAGGACTGGGCAGTGTTTCGTTCTCTTGTGCAGAGGGTCACTGTGAGTTGGTATCGACCCGATGGCACCTAACAACAACAACAACAAAGAATGGGAGGGAGGGGGAAAGAGGGGAGTGTCCACTTAGTGGACGGTGATTTTATGTTACTAGTTGTGAAACAATTTAGGAAAGAATATTGAGACCAGGTGCACAAATTGAAAACTAATCAATGTCACCAAATTATAAATGTAGAACTAGAGATGACATTTTGTTATGTTTCCACCACACACACACAAAATCCAAATGATACATAATGTTTTATTATGTATACTTCCACCATAATAAAAAAAAATCCTAAACAAATGATAATTTAAAAATTCCAAATGACAGACGATAAAATATAAGTGATACTGGACCTTTGGATAGAGAAACCATTTCATAGCTTTAAAGCCACTGAAAACACTGCAAAAGGAGAGACCAACAGATTTGATTTAAAGATATTAAAAGCTCTTGTCCTTAAATAAATAAATAATGATAAATTAAGACAGAAACAGAAATAAAACAGGGGGGGGAGGGGATTATTTGCCACAGACCTTTCCACTCATATAAACATGGTGGTGGTGGTGTGCTGTGGAGTCGATTCCGACTCATAACAACCCTGAATAGTGTTTCTGAGGTTGTAAATCTTTACGGGAACAGGAAGCCGTATCTTTCTCCCGCAGAGCAGCTGGCAGTTTCGAACTACTGACCTTGAGGTTAGCAGCCCAATTCGTATCCACTACACTACCATACACTTCTTTAAAATCTTTGAGAACAGTCAGATTCCTGTAAACTGATAAAGCATAAGATCATTTGCCCACTTGCAGAAATAGGAGACAGTTTCTAAAGACTGGCCTCACTAATAATTGATGCCCTTGCGGTATTGACAAAGAATACTGGATTTACCAGGAAGTGCTGGAAGAACGGGCACATCTGTCCTGGAAGAAGCCAGAATGCTCCCTAGGAGCGAGGAGTGCAGGACTTGGTCTCGTGTACTTTGAACATGTTACCAGAAGGGACCTGTCCCTACAGACAAACATCACGCTTGGTAAAATGAGGGTCAGTGAAAACGAGGAAGACGCTCAGTGAGATACAGTGACATAGCTACTACACTGGGCTCAGGTACAACAATGATTGTGAGCATGGCACAGAGCTGGGCAGTGTTTCATTGTGTTGCTCATGGGATTGCTGTAAATTGGGGCCAACTTGAGGGCGCCTCACAATAACTATACAAACACACTACTCAGAAGGAGACCATGAGACACCCCTTGCATCTGTCCAACGTGCAAAATTTGAAAAGGTGGAATAAATACTTAACTCTGGCCTGCGTTAGCTAGCAGAGGTCCTCTCATAGACACTGGTAGGAATATACGCTGCTGTCACCACTTTGGAAAAAAATATAAAGACTTCTGGGATTGGAAAGTCATACCCAAGAAATGAAAATATCAAAATGGCTTGCTTTGTTTCTCAAAACTATCTGACGCAGTGTTCTCATTAAGCAGTCGCTCCCAAAGAACTCAATATAAAACACAAGAATATTTTATCAACTTCATGATACCAGTTATAACCAAGGAAACAAACTGGATCTATATAACTGGAAACGAACTGAGTATCTAACAATAAAGTAAACCAGGGAAAACCAAAACGGATGCTATGTATGAGTTCTCAATGACGTTCAGTAATCATCTGGGTCTTGGTTCTCCAGAGATAATCTAACGGAAATACCACACATGGAGGATTTTAACAAAGAGAAATTGATTTCCTCACAGTGTAGGAGGCGACAAGTCCAAATTCAGGACATGGTCTATGCGAAGTCTCCATCAGCTCTGGCTGAAGGTCGTTGTCCCTTCAGATTATAATCCTTGTTGATCTTGATGAGGTGTAGCATCTAACATCCTCCATCTCTGCTTTCTCACTTGTTTGTTTGATCACTTTGTATCTTAAAAGAGATTGGCTTAAAATGCACCCTACACTGTCTCATGAATACAACAAAGAGATCCTGTTCCCAATGTGGTCATAACCACAGGTTTAGGGGTCACAATTTACAACACATACTTTGGGGGGGACATGAGTCAGTTGCTAACAGGATAAAATCTTTGAAGACAAAGCAGGATACTCAAAATCAATTAGCTAGTGTGGTTCTTACTTTTGCAGAAAATTTTTAATTAAAAGAGGCAAAGGAAGTCAAATATTCAGGAGTGGGAAACATCAGGGATGGATTTTATTCTCTTAGAAATGTTTTTTTCTCAGATTTTCTGTTTTTTGGTGATGATCATACATTTCCTTACCGATCAGGAATTTCCTTTTACGTTGATGATATATTATTTACTGTACTGAATATTGATATTAAGAAATCAAACTCATCAATCTCGAATAAGCATTGAAGTGTGCTCATTACGCAGTGAAAACAAGTGGTGCTTGTCAAGTTTTCAAGGACAGGAGAAAGTCCTTATTGTGTGATATTGATGATAAAACTCCAGATTAACATGGTAGAGCCACACTTGGCCAACTTTTAAAATATATCTCTGAAAAGACCCTCATGAGACAAATTGGTACAGTGGCTGCAACACTTGTGAGGATGGAATCAGACTGGGCAATGTTTGGTTCTATTGTACATAAGGTTGCTATGAGTTGAAACTAATTCAACGGCACCTAACAACAAGGCTAAACGTAAAGCGATACACAAGTCTCCATGTGGCTAATCGGTTCTTTTCAGGTATACACCATTTGCCATTTAGTCCATTCCCTGGGCGGTGCAAACGGGTGATGTGCTTGGCTACTAAGCAAAAGGAAGAAGGCGCAAGTTCACCTAGAGACACACCTTGAAAGAAAGGCATAGAGATTTACTTCCCCAAAAATCTGCCACTGAAAATCCAACCGGAGCACACTTCTACTCTGACACAGTGGGGTTGGCACAAGTCAGAATCAACTTGTCTTACTATTGTTAGCTATATGTTCCTAGTTTTCTACAATGAGTACTTTATTATTTTGATTATATTTTTTGGCATTAATGCAAGTTTAGAGAAAAATAAGACAAACAGCATACACCTGCTGCCAAGCTTAAGACATGGTTGTTGTGTGCTGTTGAGTGGATTCCAGCTCATAGTGACCCATGTCACTATGAAAGCTGCCTCACAGGGTTTTCTAGGGTCTGGAGTCCTGGTGTGGCACTGTAGGATAAGCACTGTACTGCTAACCGCAGGAGGTGGGCAGTTCAAATCTACCAGCTGCTCCTTAGAAACCCTATCCAGGGTCGCTATGAGTTGGAACTGACTCAACAGCACTTAACAACAACAACAACAACCTTTACAAGATCAGATCGCCAAGTCTTTTCTCCTGTGGAGCTGCTGGTTGGGCACTTACCCATTCAAGGGATATTTATTGCTATCTGCCCATTCCTAAAGGGCACATTGACCTCAGGATGCCCAAGTTCTTCCACACAGACCTGTTGACCCTTAATATCAAGCATCGTTTTTTGGATGCTGACCTGTATCCCCTGAGAACCCCAATGGCAGAACTTGCCACTCTTGAGTGGTCTTTCCCTGAGTGAACTCACAGGTGGCCAAAGGACGCAGTGCAGAAGACACAGGCCCCTGACCTTTAGCTTCACCGGGGGACAACATGACTCACCGGGGCCTCCTCCGTCAGCAGCTGGGTGGCCATCCCTCGGCTGCCTACAGTGACTGGAGGATGGATGGACGGGCCTGTGGGTCCGAGAAGGCTGTGGAAGTGACGGAGGGAGAGACAATGAGAGACCAGGCCTTGTAACCAGGCCACACACACACACACACACACACACACACAGTCAAAAAAGCAATGAAATGCTACAAAATCATAGGAACCTTTATTCATTAAACAAACATATCAAAATGTGAAGCTACGGTTTCTCCATGTCTCCTTCACCTAGGACTATACGCTTCTGAAGGCAATGTTTCCATCCCTGTAACCCTTCTTGGAATAATTTTGCATTCTTCCATTTGTTGTTGTTGTTGTGTGCCGTGGAGTCGGTTCCGACTCATAGGGACCCTGTACAGGGTTTCCGAGGCTATAAATCTTTACGGGAGCAGAACGCCTCATCTTTCTCCTGCGGAGCAGCTGGTAGTTTCGAACTGCTGACCTTGAGATTAGCAGCCCGACTCGTAACCACTACACTAGCAGAGCTCCTTATTCTTCCATTTACACTCTATCAAAACAGTAGTCCTGGCATGCTGAAGGGATTCAGATTGTGTTCTTTTTCAACGTTTTGAGTTTTAGAAACAAAAGGAAGTCTGAAGGAGAAAGATTAGGGCTGTAGGGTGGAATGGGGTAATGAAATTCTCATACAACAGCCCCGGCTATCCCGGAAGAAAGAGCAGGTCCATTGCCGCGATGGGGGAAAATTCCTCCCTGCAACGTTACTGGCTACCAATGCGGTTTTCAATTTTCTTAAAACTTCTTCCTAAAAAGCGCCTATGATCATCCTGTGGACTTTGAGAAAAGCTATCACTGGGATCCCAAAAATCACAGCCGGCCTCTGTACCTTGAATTTAACTGACCCAACAGATCCCGTGGGTTCTGACTGACGTGTGGAGGGGAAGCTCTGCTGGGCCCACCTGTCCACTGTTACTGGACTTTTCACACACATCCCCGAGGGGCGTACCTAAAAGCACCCACACAGAGTCCTACAAACACCCAAACACACCCCTAACAGAGATGTACGCGGACACCTAGTGGCAGATAAAGATGTGGGCAGAGGTGAGTGTCTGGAGACAGAGAGACAAGCAAAGATAGAGGCAGATATGCCCCCCACACAGCGAAAACCATGCAGACATGCGCAGGGAGGGACGAACTCTCCGAGAACCAGACACACCTCCCCACGGACAGACACACATCCACGGCGTGCACGCAGCAAAGCGACAGGCCTGCGCGGGCAGACCACGCAGACAGACACAAATGGACAGACAGCACGACAGGCCAACCTCGGTCTCCAGCCTGCACGCCCCTCTCCAGTGTACGCCCCCTACCCTTGTAGCCCCTACGTCCCCTCACCCTGACCAGCATTCATCTCTTCACTCTCAGCTCCCCTCCCCTCGCCCCGACACCCC